GCGCAGCATGCAGCCAGCACCCGAATGCAGAATGAGGAGGCAGGCCCTTCCCTATATCGAAGTGGCCTGCCTGCGTCCAGTCCAGGAAGCTTCCAGTAGGCCCCGGTAGCCTGAGGCCCAGTCACGAGGAACGCAGGCCTTGGGCCTGAAGTGGTTGCATGTGCCCAACTGCTTTCGGCCTGTGCTTGGCCCGGTCCCCGTATCCAGCCCAGGGCCTGCTTTACATTCATTCACACAGGCGGCCCAGGGCCTGAGTTCATTCAACCAACTGGCGCTGCGCAACTGCCTGAATTTCCCCAGTTGCGGGGTACCCTGAAAATCGAGGCCCTGAGGGCCTGTCGTGCCTGCCTTCACTTAGGGTGGCCGACCTTGCTGCCAATAAGGGCCCGTAGGGCCTAAGCGGGCGTCGCCTCGCAATAGGTTTTATATTCACTTTAATTTTTCCATACCTGTATGAAGTAAACCAATATGTGGTTCTGCATGTTCCACCACTTCTCCATTCATTTCCAAAACTAACCTTAAAAGTTAAAACACCATGAGCGGCTGGGTGTTGAGCTCCAAAATTGAAAAGTCAAAATTTTTCATGGCTACACCAGACCCGGACCCAGACAGCTCATGTCCGGGGACCGGACGCGTGTCCGGTCGGGTCCGGACGACCGGACACATCCGGACCTCCGGACATGCATGGTTTCGGACGGTCCGGACCGGTAAGCAGGTCCGGAAATGTCCGGACCATTAAAAAAAAAAAAAAAAAAACCTGAAAAAAAAGTATGTTATGCAGAATAACAATGCAAACCACTTTTGCCTCAGAGTCGTGTCAGAATTCCTAACCAAACTTGAGTTAAAACTTAAAACTCAAAAACTATAAAAAAGCTTAAAAAAAGACTTTAAAAACTAATAGAAGTTATTAATAATTAAAAAACTGGGGTTGTCTAATAAATTATTATAGAGAGAGAGCATGTCCCGACTCCCCCCAAAAAAAGCATAAATGGGCCTGAAAAAAACCCAAAACAATTTTGGGGTTTGGCTCCTCAATGGGGAAGGGTCCTGGACCGTTTTGTTTTTTTTTTCCCCTCAAAATTTGGCAGATCCGGACCTTCCAGACCGAACGTCTGGAGTCCGGACTGAATCCAGACCGTTTGGACGGCGGTCCGGACGTCCGGATCGTAGCCATGAAATTTTTTTTTTGTTTGGTTTTAGCCCATTGATATCCCACCATCCTTGCCAGGTGGCAAAAGATAGCTGGTTCCTGCTTCTGAGGAAAATTACTAAATTAGTAAAAAAATACTAAAAATTACTGAATTACGCTATGGACCATTTGGAGGCGAAGATGTGCACATACTATTGAGGGGGAACTTATTTTGAAAGGGGAGTCCTGGGCTAAGCTGACAGTCAAGGTGGAGACAGAAATCTGCTGCAGTAGTGTTGCATACCGTATAGGTGCAGACCAGAACAAGAACCGACCTTTCAATACAAAGTATAAAATAGCACAGCGGAAGACTTAGATACCAATGATCCGA